AAATATTCTTTTTATCTAAGCTTTTATAGTTGATTTTAATTGCTAATTTTATTTATTCATTTTAATTGCTTTTCAGTTGTTTGTAAAGTCTTGATTTTAGACCTCCTTTTTATTGTAAACTATCAAGGGACATAAATAAACAAACAGTGACCAAATTTGGTCCTTCACTGTCAAGTTCTTTGAAGATCACTGTTGCTGTGTTAATTTTTGGGGTCCAAGCAATCCCTCACAATTAGACCTTTTCTTAACCATGGTTTGAAAAAAAATGAGATGAAAAATGTTGGAATCCAGCCCAAATCAGATATTTTACCTTCTTGCCTTAACTGCAGAAAATATTTACACTGGCATTGTTTACAGGAAATCCAGGCACCCATTTATTCAGGATGTGAATACCATCAATGTCTGAAACTCTTTCGACAACATTTATGGATGGTGATGGGCAACAATGCATAATTTGTAAACATAATAACCTGTTACATTACTTGAAACACTAATATGATACTATTCATTTAAAAGAGTTATATTTTAGGATACTGACCAAATAATAACCTACTGTTAGGAAATGTACTATGCACTAGATTCTAACCTTTCCAAGATACTTTCAGCAGTTCTTCTTCCCTTCTCTATTGCCCTTGGCCCTCCCACTGGGCAGCAAGCTGTAGCTCTGAATCCATCAAGATAAGTGGCATTTACCTGGGGAAACAGTTGCAAAGGGTTTGCCATTAATTGTACAATCTCTGATTAGAAATATAAAAATTCAATTTTATGGTTATGAAATTTATTCTGGGGATTTTTGTTTGAAGTTGTTCAAAAGATTTATCAGGTAAACTGCATTCAAAGATGATTGCTTTGAACATCACAGACAGGAGAGTCACTCAGAGTCATCTGGAGTCAGCCAGAATCAATCAATCAATAAAAATATTAAAAAGGAAGCCAACAGATAATTCACTTTTTAATCTCTAAAGTTAAAAATGGATTTCATTTGATAGTTGATAAGCATGGTTTATCAAGACAAAAGAAAGACTGTCACCATCCTCAGCATTGTGTGTTCTCACCTCCAGCACGAGGGTGAAGAGAATATCACAGATTTTTAACTTTAAGATTAAACTATCATTGATTTCATCTATTCTTTTAAACTACAGTTAATTAAAACAAGAACAAAATCGTTGTTTCTTCTTGATTATAGCCAAACAGAAAAATACAGGGCGGAGGGGAAATTGCAAACATCCACTGAGGAGAGTAGGGTATTTTTTTCTTAAAGTGAGAAGGCGAACTACCCGTAGCCAATAATGCAGTCTTTCTCGACTGGGGTTCTAATCCTGCTAGTTATTTAACAGAAATATGTTTGCCTTGTGAGTTAAATTTTAAAAACTTTAAAAAAGAGAGATTAATTTCAAAAAGCTAAGCCTAACTTTTTTTAAGAAGTGGGGGCTAAAAAGTCATTTTTAGTTTTAAATAAGGGGGAAAAACCCCTATTATTGCACACACCATTCCTCATTAGCATCTTGTAGAGTAGAACTTTGTGATAACACTTTTAGGCCTACTTGGTAAGGTAAAAAAATATAATCAAGTAGGATTGTTTTTTAAAAAAAGGAAAAACTGAAGTTTCTTCTATCTATACTACTGACTTGCATTAGAGTTGATATCCTTTGGGTGGGAGGGAGGGAAGGAGGGAGAAGTAAACAAAAAGAGTAGTCAAATGAAGTTGGCCAAAATAAACATATCTAACAGAAGAATATCTTCTCTCCAAACCAATTCTATTCTATATAACCATAAAGCAATGAAAAAAACCTTGTAAAATGGTGTAGGAGGCAATCCTTTAGCTCCTTGAACCTTCACTTCACCACTGTCAATGCCTAAAAATAATGTTTAAAAATTTAGGATTATTTATAATTAAATGAAAAAAATCAAATCAAATTCTTTATTTACAACCAGAGATCAGCAATAGATATAACCAGATAAAATCAAACAATTAAATAGAAGTAAAGAGAAAGGACTGGATGACTTTGAATACCAGTCTGAAATCAGCTCACTCTCTCAGAGCCCCAGAAGTATGCTAGACCCAGGCTTTGAGGAACTTGCAAGGTATTTGTACACCTTTACATCTTCTAGCTTGAGGAAAGGATTTTTCAGGGCCAGGCATAACATCTTTCCATCCCTACTATTAATTGGCAGGTATGCCAAGATTTATCTAGCTCAGCGCACTTGCTCTTGTGACTCTGAGGAAATCAAGACAATTCAACATATCCTTCTTTACTGTAACTTTTATAAGGAACTTTGAAAAGACATCATAGCCCATTTACTAAGTTCACATGGGAGAATGGATGATCTTCATACCTACCTTTTACTCTCTAACTCAAACTACAAAACCACCTGCGCAATAGCCAAATTTATTGCTGCAGCAATAATGAGGCAACAACTAACATCAAACAATTAAATTAATATGAATAAATTATGCACTCTAACTGCTTTGTCCTGACAATAATACAATTAAATGAATAACATATGTGGTTTATGTATCCTTAATATTCACAGATAATAAGAACAAATGAGATTTGACATATGTATGAAGGATAGTTCTAAATATGAGGCTTAGTCATGAATGGAACCTCTACTCCTCCAGAATTTTGATCCAATCTATAAGTTATCAGAGAGTGTTGTGCCAGATGTTAGCCCCTAAACTTATCCTTCTGAAAATGTCAGGTCTCTTGTAGATGTGTGCCAACAATTCCTCATCTTTTCCTTTATGCAGCCCACTTCATCATCAATGAAAGCTTCTGAGACCATCACATAAGCCACTGGTCATAAACATAGCAGCTGTGAGCAGTATCGCTAACAGGAACCCTAGACACTCATGGGATTACCAGATTAAATCAAAGTTTGTTTATTTTTGTACATGTACTTGTATACCCAATAGAGTGGTATATAATAATATGATTAAAGGCATAAATAAACAGCAACCAAAGCAAACAAATCCAAATCTAGGCAAACTAAATAGCAGCTCAGATAAAGAGTATTCTAGTCATCATAAAATCACTTAACTGTAAAATCAACACCAAACATATATTCAAACAAAACAGTCTTCATAGCCCTGCAGAAGTTCAGTGAAGAGGGCATCAGGCTACCTCCAGTGCCAGATTTCCACAGTGTGGAGGCCATCATAAAGAAGGACTGCCTCAGGTCCATGTCCCTTTCACTTCTTGTAGCGATTGGAAGAGAATCCTTTCTGGGTCCAAACACAATATTCACAGAGTCCTTTTTAACAAGATTTTTTGTGATAAGAGAGGTAGTAGTATACAAATTCCTGCAAATGAACTTTCAGGACAGAACCAATATATCTCAGTGTACATTAAGGCAGAGACTTCCTGGGTCCCTTTCTCACAACCATATGGTGCAACTGAAGAGAACAATTGTCTTCACTACTAACAGGAAAGTCTGCAGCTGGTTATTTACCTAATTATTATTTGAAACTTTACCAGCTGGACAACCAATTCTTAGAGTAACACTGTCTTCTTGGGTTGATGTATAGCTGGGTATCATCAGGCTACTGATGACACCTCATCCCAAATCAGCAGATGACTTCACACAGCAGCTTCATATAAATGCTAAACAACAGAGGCCATCCACCAGAGTGATCAATTCTATTTTCATTCCATGCTCGAGCCTGAATCTAGTTTGAAAGGGCTCTAAATAATCCACTTAACCAAGAATCTGTTGTACCCATTCCCTACCACCATCTCCAAAAAGATAAAGCTAGAGACACGGCAGAAACTGTCTAAAATGGCCAAATTGAGGGATGGCTTCTTCAAGAGAGGATGCATTCCTGCCTCTTTCAAAGGCAACGGCATCTTGAAGTCTTAGAAAAGGCAGACTTGGCATCAGCTTTCGATGCTCTAGCTTTTCCAGACTAGACTATCACAATGCACTGTGTAGAGCAATCTTAAAAGTAACTTATAAATGGTTGGTTTTCCTGCTTCAGATTTATCAATCCATTCTTTTGGTGCTGGTTAATGTAAATCAGTGATAAGTATACAGAAATGATTCATACTTTTTATCATGCCTTACTTAAAATCTAGCTAGTCTTACCAGATAAGATGTCCTAGTATGATTATTTTATGAATGGTATTGTTTCATTGCCTGAGGCTGATTTTGTAGGAATTGTTTGGGACACCTTGATTCCATGTCATCCAATGCTGTTAAAAAAATGCCCATATTCCCGTATCTGTTTCCGAAGACCCTGATAATTATGTTTATGTGTCTTTGGTAAATTGATGTAATAGCATTTTTTGCTCCACTTCAGAAACGTATGTATCAGAGTAGATATAAGCTGTGTTACTTATGTTATATATATTTGATGGTTTTTGAGTGATACTATCTTGAAAACTTATTTTCTGGAAAAAAAAAAATTAAGGTGAACTTTAAAGTTATTGCCAAGGTATGTTTCTTTGTCATGATTTCTGATTTAAAGTGGGGCAAATGAAATGGAAGAATAAGGTACTAAAACAGGAATGATAATTGTGCTGAAGCAGCACTTGACATTAGATTTCCTGTATAATAGCCCTGACTACAGCATTTTACATGATGCAACACTATCCGGTGACAGTAGTCTGAGAGAACTATCCTGAGTTCTGAATAACAAAACAATCCTGGTTGATTATCTCAGTGGAGTTGAGCTGTTGTTTATTATCACCGACAGTTTTGGTAGATGGAGCGCTCGTTTAAATTAAAGAGTAAGATTAAAACATCAGTTTTGTTCACATAGATCAGCTGCATTTGAGAAAGGTACTTAGGAATAAATTATATAATTACTATGAATTGGAGGTGTATAAAAACACACATGCACCTTTTCAAACACTAAAAGCAAAAAGAAGTGGTTCACTTAAAAGAAAAAAGGATTGATGGAAGCAAGTTAGTCCAATATTACTTATGGCTAAGAAACAGAGTTCCTCTCTACAGATACCACCATGTCTTCTTATTTATTTATTGGTTAACATATTTATATACCATTTTCCATTATTACAAATAGCAAAGTACTTTATAATAACATTAAAATTGCAATACAAATCATAATTGGATAAGCCCGTATTTACTAAACTAAGAGAACATAATATTCCAGTTGGACCTTACACTATTTTGAATAGTATTTTTAATGTCATTAAATTTATTTGATATTTTAAATATATTTTACACTTCAGCATGTATCATTTTAATGCCAGTATCTACTTCAAATAGAATATAAAGAATATAAAATCACACTTCAATTGAGTTGGGATTAAGTCACCTGAACTTACTGCAATTTCGTTTTAAGTAGATATATTTGCAGTGGAATTGTATGCTTAATATTCTGTACAGCTCAAATATGCCTTTAAAAACAAACACATTAATAGAATTTTGGTTCCAGTTATATTATAAAAAAAAAAAAATCACTCCTGAAATATTAAAAAGAGCACCACTAAATTCACCCAAATGCTTTATCTAATCCTGCCATATGAACTATTTAGTAAAGTAAACAATTAAAGCAGAAAGGCCTGCAGTCCTTTTTCTGGTGTACATGTCACAACACTTATATCTAAAGATATTTCAGAAATCTGTCTATTTCCCATCTGTTAAATTTCTAGTAGAATAACTAACTGAAAGTTCATGTGAAAGTTCATCTGGAGTTCAGATGTGTCATACTGGGCCATTTACAAGCTAGAAGTTCACTTGAAGGTTAAAATATTTTAATTCTTATTTTTTAAAACACAGTTTAAATGCAGCTACTAATTAATGAGGCAATTTTGAGCAAACGATGCACATTTTGAGAACATTTTTAGGTTGATTTTATGTTCTTTGAATCCTTGCCCAACAGGACTGATAGCATGCAAGAGTATATTGAAACTGGCTACTTAACATAATTAATGCTTCACTGACCCAGGGCAGAATCATCCCAGTAAAACCTTAAGTTTATTTAGTTATTCAGTGTATAGCCTGCCTTTCCGCTCTGATGAGGTCACAAAATTTTAAAACAGCATACAAAAGATTAAAAACTAATGCTAAAATCTATTAATACTTAAGTATTTGCAAATTTGGCAAAAGAGATACATCAGATTTTTTAATTCAGAAACATAGGCAACAGTCAGTGACTGCAATCCTAATGCAGTACAGAGTGCAAATAAATAATTGGCAATAGTTATTAAGGTTGACAGATTTTTAAATCAATTGCTATCAATGTCAGGAAGTAATATAACTCTGGCTTATTTCCTTTTATCAAACTCCTTCCTCGCTGTCCTTTTGAATATATGCTGCTTAGGTGTTGCTCAGACAGCACTGGAGAATTGCCTTTTCCGGATCTTATCCTCACTTTCTTTTCTCACTTGATGCACACAGAAGCCATTAGCATCTCTCTCCATCCCCATGTATTAAGTTACATTAGAAGTCATTACACTTCATTTAAAGCATGTAATAAATACGCAGATAATATTGGTATATTCAGATGCTGCATGTATTGAATGTCTATTTATTTGGAGTTCAGAAGGTAAGGACATTTGGCTGACCTTGGCTGCTCTCAAAATGCTAAGCAGAAAGGTAGCTTTGATGGAAGACCACAAGGAAATCCCAGGGCTACAGGCTAGACTAGGAAACGGGTAAAATGGGTAAAATATCCCAGAAGGAGGAATACCAAACCATGTCTATATTGTTCCCGGAGAACATTACAGAGTTCATAGTCACCAAGAGTTGAGCTCAGTTTGGGGAGAACTTTATTTAACTTTTTATTTAACATTAACATGGGTTTTTTTTTTTCATCTTTCTTCCATTCCGTTTCCATTTGTATTGCACTATTCAGATTAAATACATATTTGCAAGATCTAGCTTTTACCAATTTTCCGATGAAAGCTTAACGAAGATGAACACGATGTCTACAGTTTAAGACTGATTTCATAAGTGCCCTTAGCAAGTCACACTAACATCAAAATAACAATAAGTGCATCATTACATCAACATGTGCAAATAGTAAAATTAGGTCATGACATCCGACACCACTATGTAAATAACATCATCTAACCTCCCTTGTCCGCCTCCCAACCCGTGGATGTCCATGCCCAAGTTCCCTGCTTTTGCTCTTCAAATGTTACATGAACCATTCCTCACATCAAACACAAGTTTTCCTATCACTCCTTTTGTGGCCCACTTTTCAGGTTGCTTGTTTAAAGTCCTATTCATAATACCTGATTTAACACACCACATTAACATGGTTCAGTTGAAATGAAAAAAAAAGGTCCACAATGCAAGAGTGCATGTACACATGCACAGCCACTCACTCCACCAATCAGCACTCTGCATTTTCTTCTGCATCAAAACTTGCAGAATTCGATCCCTCAGACCAGTATTTCTCAACCTCAGCAACTATAAGATGTGTGGAGTTCAACTTCCAGAATTCCCCAGCTAACACTGGCTGGGGAATTCTGGGAGTTGAAATACACATCTTAAAAGTGCTAAAGTTGAGAAACACTGCCCCAGATTATGGGAAAACTATGACTGAGCCAGCTTTTCAGAGAAGTCTGATTCCTGTTATTACATTCACATATACTTAAAAGCATCCTTTCTTTCAAACAACAATAAAATTTCATACAAAAAAACGTATTTCCCTAGAATAAGAATAATCCAATATCAGCAGACACTGACCTGTGATTTCAGTAAGGGAGACTTGAGAGAAATCACACGTGACATCTGGTAAGAGATATTCTTTAGGATTATCAATTTCATATACCAACTGTTCTGCCACAGTGCCAAAAGTCACCAGGCCCCCTGTGTTGGGTGGTTTGGATACAATAAAACTTCCATCAGAAGAAGATTCTACTATGGGGAAACCGATGTTATGCCTAAAAGTTGAAAATATTAAATTTTAATGATATAGAAGGTATACAAATAGCATATAACGCATGATAATGCTATGTAGTAAAAAACAGAATATCACAAACTGCAAATGTATACCAGTTGGTTTTTTTAAAAAACTTCCAAGAAAAACTTCCTTTCAGCTTCTTAAAATATTCTTAGAGACACCAAATGATCAACTGAATAAACCAATTAGATTTGGAAAAGAGACAAACAAAATATCAAAGAAGTATGGGAGCAGTAACAGTCCAAGAAAACAAATTAATGTCTTTCACGGTGCAGTAAAAAAATCAAAACAAAACAACTGGATATGAAATTGCTTTTGCTACATCTCACTTTCACATTGCAGCTTGGGTGAGGTTTAGTTCAAGTAAATGCATTATGGGAGAATTTTTTTCAAGTTATCAGCTACTCTGCAATCTTCCTTTAACCTTCTTTGCCCTTACGTCAACTGCCTACTCCCCAGGACCACTTCCTAGTCAACCTATCGAAGTTCAGTGCTAGCTAAATGCACACATTCTCTACCCTTATTATGTTGCACAAATTTCATTCTGGTCCAACTAATTCAGACAATCAGTGTTGATCATGTTGCAACCATTGTGCAGTACAGATTGTGAACGCACTGCATTTCATATAGGGCAGTGTTGTCCAAACTTGGCCACTTTAAGATGAGTGGACTTCAACTCCCAGAATTGCCAGCCATTGAAGTCCACTCATCTTAAAGTGGCCAAGTTTGGACAACACTGATATAGGGGAAACAGTGATACCTTTTTTCTTGCCAGAAAGAAAGAACAAGGAAAGGACAGAAAGGAGGTTATTGAGGCATACTGTCTGTAGCAGCTTTAACAAACTGCAGCCACAACTTCATGGATATTCATTCAACATGACAGCTTATTAAAAGTCAAAGTATGAAACACAGCAGAGATAAAACAATGGTATACTATAATGAAGCACTAACACATTATGATGTGGCACCAATTCACAAACTGACTGCTGTGGGCAGATTATAACGGCACAATTGAGTCTTCAGCACTGTCAGTTACTTTTATTTAGGTCTTCAAGAGAAATAGATCACATTACTGCATTTTGCCCAAATAAACAAGTGCCAATTGGCAAGAGGTATTCTATTCACAAGACATTAATTCTCAGGGGGAATAAACATAACATCTACAACTGCACTCTCCCAGGACCTAGCGGAGTATTTCGGTTTTAACTTCTAGTGAAAGTTCCATAAAAATCTTATTAGCACTAGTTTCCCTGGAGATGACATAATTAAACAAGCTCTCCATTATCTTGGCCATGCCACACTTGAGCAGTACTACTGAACATTTTTAAACACTCAGTGGCTGTCAGCCCTTGAAATGCTGAATAAATCTCATTCCACACAAAGTCCCCAGTTTCAACATACCTTTCATTACAAAGAGCCTGAATTCTAGGTCTGTAGCTACAGAACAGCTACCTAGGGCATGTTGGAACTATGTTATTATGAGACTAGTATGCTTAAAGTGAAGTCAAATTAAAATTGTACTTAAGGACTAAACTGGGCTTATTTTCTAGATTTTTAAGCAGGAAACATTCCAATAGAAATTCTAGTAGAATTTCTAAAAGAAGATTGATATAAGGTTACTCCAAGTCAAAATAACTTTATTTTTAGTACTTCATTGACAGTATCTTCATAAAAAGTTGATGTGGCTCATAATCCAGTGATAAAATGCATATACTGAAAAAAATAAAGAACATATTCTATGGGAAAATCTGAACATGCCTCTTTTCTAAGTTCAGACATACAGTATATATTCACTTCATTATGGAAAGATTTAAGCACTCCAAGTTGTTTAATGGATAATGCTCGAAATGAATAAATTAATAATCTTCCTTTGAATTTCAGATCCTTTCTATCAATAAGGTAAGTATTCCTATCCAATACTATGTTGCAAGTTGTATGTTGCTGAATTGCCAGAAAGCAATCAATCAACTATAGAGCCTTGGCAAGAACCAATTAAGGATGAGGAAGCATCCGGAGGACTTCAAAGTATGACATCACTTCATTAGAAATAAAAGGAATACTGCCATATCAACTCATTTTTTAAAAAGACAAATATTAATTCAAACAATTATGGATCCTAGTTTGCACAGAATAGTGTAAGGCAGCTTGGGATAAAACTGGGCTTTGACTGCACTTGTGGCATATGGCCCAAAATGTATCAACGTTGAATGGTACTATCCTTTTCATTACCAGGAATGTTACATGTGGCACTAGGTTAATGCTGGAAATCTAGTTGTAGAGAACCACAGACATTACCATGGAGTGGGAATGTGACAACAAATAATTTAAGACCAGGAAAACAAGAGAACATTAATAACTTGAACTGACTCTGCCTTAACTCTCTTTGGTATAACAGGAAGAGAGGTAAAAACACTGTCAGGCTTTCAAGATTCTGCTACTGTAGACTAAAGCATATCAATAGAATTCTTCTACTTGGAATCATCAGGCCTACCTTGAAGGGCTGACACTAGTCTATACTAATCTAGGTGTTATGTAAAACCTACAATTAACAAAACCCACAATGGGCAGTAAGTCCATTTGGTGATGAATATGGCATATTGAAGATTGCCATTTATCATTTATATTCCAAGTGACAAAGAACATAAGTTAACAAATGAAAGAAAGAAAAATAGATGTGGTGTGTGTCTGGGGAAGGACATAACAGATCTGAATGATGGTAGTCTCATCTTGTGGAGCAGAGTTGATACAGGAAAGTGAAGAAGTTTATGTCAGATATGTCAGAAACTATAAATCAGTATCATATCGCTGTTTGTGGGTGTATATGAATGTAAGAATTCATAGGTTGGTGATAAGTACACATTACACTCCAGTGAGTAGTGATAATAGAAAAAAACATAGAGGTAATTAATGGGAAAAAAATATTAACATTCTCAAAGAACATGATCCAAAGGGAAAAATACTCTGCTAATGTTCAGCAAAACATTGCTGAAAAAAATAAATGCTGTGAAAATGCTGAAAATGGTAAGGGTGTGGTGAAAGCAAGGATGGTTCGTAAGGACAGAAAGATGAGAGGTTTAGTTAAGGATGTAGTTTTAAACTAGTTTTAGCTAAGTTCATTTCCTTGTTTCTTACATTTTTACATCTTTTGCTTTCTATTTTTTACTCCTTTTCTGCACTTTGTATAATATTTACCCCCACAGGGATATATATACCATGATGGGTATGTATGCATATATGTATACACACAATTATAAAGGTATGATAAATAGAAAAATCACATCCCATGATAGAAATACTGCAGAGATTCTATTAATGTGACCATAGGCTGAATACTGTCCTTTATCACTCAGCAATCTACAGTTTTAAAATATACTACAAAATACTCTTCTACTAAAGTGTATCAAAAGCACCTTTCAACTATTTATACACTGAGAAAAGACCGACTCTTGGGTAATTATCATTATCATTATTGTAGCTGTTATGGAACTGAGGGCCATCTAAATCAATTTATTAACAAACTACTAGAGGCTTTTGTAAGCCATTAATTAGCTTCAGCTAGAGTTATTCCATTGTAATCACTTTGTCTGTGCTTTTGCTTGTTAACAATCAGCACTTCCTTAACCTGCTAGCGGGGCTAGAAAAATTGACCACAAAGACTTTGTAGGCTGACCACAAACACTCCATACATGGACTAGCTGACTAGAATAAAAAAAGGAGACAGGGCATTCAGCTCCAGTGCGGTTAGAGGCGTCCAGACAAGGGTCCAGAGGTGAACAAAAGTGTATCATTAGCATGCTAAAAAGCACACCCAGAGGTGGAAATTTCATATGCTAATATCCCCCCCCCCGGACTATTATGTGATAGAATGCTTTCGTGAGCATGTCTAAGACATATACCAATCAGCTTATTACTTCCTTGTTTAAACTGTATAAAAGATGGTTTTGGCTTCAAGAAGGGCACTCAGTTTGGACTTGGGTCCCGAGCGCACCTCTTTGTTTCTGTGCAGAAATAAAGTGTTGGAATTCACTTTCCTTGACTCTGTGTGATTTATGGCTCATTGCACTGGGTGAAAACGAACCCAGTATCGGGCTGGATTAAATCTCCTAAACTGCTATTACTGTAATGTAATTTCAGTTCCCCCTTCATGGATCACTGCCTTGTCGTGGTGAAGGGGCTTGCGTAACTCAGTGAAGCCATGAGCTATACCATGCAAGGTCACCCAAGACGGACAGGTCATGACAGAGAGTTCTGAC